GTCCTTCTAGCTCCCAGATCCCCCTCTCTCTCCACCCTTTCCAGGGAACAGAAAGAAGAGGCAGGTCGTCCCTGTCCACTTCACAAACCCGGTGCCATATTTGAGACTGAGTGTGTCATCGCAACCAAGCCACACATCCAAGTAGCAATCAGTTCTTTAACCAATGAAACCCCGTGGGCCAGTTAGGCCATTTCTGGGAATGTGATTTAAAGGAATGTCTAGATTTGTGGGGAAACCCTTTCTAATAAAAAATGTGCATCATGGTGTTGATATACAATGAAGCAAGAGAGACAGGGTGGGAGGAAAGAAAAAAGGAAGGAAGGAAAGATGAACTTGAACACCGAGCAAAGGAATGGCAGTTCATGAACTGCAGTCTCATGCTTTGAAGGTCGGCAAGGACAGGGACAGCCCTTCTAGGTGACATTCTCAAGTGGGAAAGCAGGACATAGACATACAGGTAAAGGAGTATCGCAGACACGTGTAAAATATACGGGAAGGAAGCATTTGATTCAAATGGGGGTTGGGGGTGATTTTGTATCTTTCATTCGTCTTTCCAGCATTTTAATACAATCTATAAAGGGAAAAATACCATAAACTTTTTTATTTTTCGAAAGACATTTCGTATTGATTTCATAAACATATTACCTTCAAAGGAGTCACAGCCAAATTCGCTTCATAATGCTTTTTCTGAAGTTCGTCAAGCTGAAAGAGAAGCCATGTTGTTGACAAGGCTGAGCCATAACTGACACAGCTAGGTGCTTCCCCGGGAAAGCCAGGCTCCCAGAAGTTGGCTCGTGTCCCCTCTTTTCCCACAGGGTCCTCAGTGGGGAACAGGGACCTTTCCCGTATCACCTGCTCAGCAGGATCGAAAGGAAGGACACTCTGAGCACTGGAGCATGAGCTCTGCAGGACTGCAGCTGTCGGGCCAGCTCTGTCACCTCTTCCCTCAGGAAGCCTCCCCGGATTCCCCATGCAGAGGGGCCTGAGGTTTTTTGCATGTGTTGTTAAATTTATGGGTTCCCAAGCCAGATGCCTTGGGTCCCCAATCCCAGCCCAGCCACTCACTAGAGCTGTGACCTTGTGCAAGTCACTTCTATCTGCCTCAGTCTTCCCATCTATAAAATGGGGTCAATATTAGTGTCCATCCACTGGTGAGGATAGTTGCGTGAATGACTCCTGTAAAGTGCTTAGGACAAGGCCTGGCATCCAGTCAGCACTCAATGACTGTAAACCATTCTTACTGTCCGGGGCAGGGGCGCCAGGCACGTGAGTAAAGCCACCTTGGACCTTCTGGCCTAGCCCAGGGCCCAGCTGAACAGCACTGAGTGGTCCCCACGGATGCCGTTAGAGCAGAATCGCCCCACCGAGTCCTGCCTGAATGCCTGACCCACAAAATCACAAGATATAACAAGACAAGTGTTCTATGAGTTCCTCTCACTCTCTTGTTCCCTCTGTAGTGGGTACAAGAAAGCTGCATAAATAAAAGTCCTTCCTCTCCCCAACCTCTTCTGACCTCTAACCCTATATACCCATAATCAGAATGCATACATGTGTATATGTCCACATATGAGATTATACTGTACAAAATGTCTTACATCTTGTTTGTATCATTCAATTAAAACTCGTGGAGTTATTCCCATATCAACACAGACAAAATGATCATATTCTTGTAAAGTCCTGCATATTATTTTGATGAAATAATTTATAATGTATGTTAAATCAACATAGTTTATTTAACCAATTCTTTGTTTATGGAAATTTATATCATTTTTGTTTCTTTGCTTTTCAAACAAGGCTACAATGAACATTTCTGTGTATCTATTTTGGCGGACACACAGAAATATATTTACTCTGAATATATTCAGAGTAAAATCCCGGCTCCAAGCAGGCTGTCTTATGCTGGAAAGGCACTCAATATTTGCAGGCTAGGATTCAATTTTCTCTCTGCTTTGGTTTAGGAAATAGCATGGCTATGTTGCTGGGAACTGTGTACTGGGGCATTTTTTTTTTCAGTTTTTCAAGAAGAAAGTGAATGAGAGAAAATATTTACAAATCATATACCTAATAAGGGACATATATGTAGACTATATAACAAATTCTTACAACTCAATAACAACAACAACAAAAGCCAATTACAAAATGAATAAAGGATCTGCACAGACATTTCTCCAAAGAAGATATATGACCTGCCAATAAGCAGATGAAAATGAGCTCAGCATCATTAGCTGTCAGGGAAATCCAATCCAAACCACAATGAGATCCAACTTCACACCCACGAGGATGGTTATCAACAAAAGGACAGACAGTANCACCCATCACCCTCTGCACTGCCTGGGGGCTGTGTGACCTGGGCTGAGTCTCCCACCCTCTCTGAGCCTAGTTCCCTCTTCTGTTAACCAGTAGGAGAGGAGCTCCTTACTCATTTAGCTCATTATTTCACGCGTGTAAATATTCCCTGAGAAGCTTCTCTGTGCCAGGCACTAGGGAGACAGAGGTGGTGATGGAGCAGCTCTGGCCCCAACAGAGGTGCTGACCAAACTCCCACCACAGTGCGGGGGAAATCCCTCCACATCAGGCATGTCCACGTTCCATGGAGGACGGGGAGGGGGGGTGACTAACTCTGTGGTTCATGGGATTCAGGGCAGGCTCCCTGGGCAAGGCCACACTTGGACTGTGGATGGATAGGAGGCTGCAGGACAGACAAGAATCCTACCAGAGGAAGCGGCAAGTGCTAAGGTCCTGAGGCACGTGTGAAAGAACAGTCTGGTGAAACAAACACCACGGTGCGTATATGACACTGAACTCAAGTCACTCTGTGTGTCTGTCCCCTGCACTGTGTTGAGTACTGTAAATTAAGGATGGCCAGATCTCCTTCCTACGCCAGCCCCAAGCACAGGTGCGGGCACAGAGGAGTCGTCCAGGATGTGGGGTCAGTGGATGGAGGGAGACAGACAGGGGCTGTTAGGTCGGGCAGGTAGGTGGGCGGGTCCTGTGCCCGCAGCCCCCACAGGAAGAGGGCCAGGGCTCTGTGGGCATCTACCTCTGGGACGCCGGGAGCCAGGAAGGTGGCCGCGTACTCGGCCAGTGCCACGTCGTTCACCAGGCTGTGCACCGTCTCGGAGAGCAGGTCACTGGCCGCCCCGTGTCTGTGCAGCTCCTGCAGCAGGTGTTTGATCAAGCGGTTCCTCTCCCGGCACTTCTGGACCAGAGAAGCCAGCTTGGCCTGAAAGGGTGGGAGTGAGGACGTAGCCAGGTGGGTCCCTGGGAACAGGGCTCCCACGGGGGCCGGGGCATCCCCTCCTGGCTCTGCACCCCCCATCACTGGCTTAGCTCAGCCTCCTCCCTGCCACGTCTTCCTCCACCAGGAAGCCAAAGCCAGTGTTGAAAATAAGCTGCCACATAGCTGCACCCCCAACGGGCTTCCCGCTGCCTTTCCGGGTGCCCTCTGGATGGGTCAAGAGCATGCACCTTGGCTCCACCGCTGAGCAGCTATATTACCTTGCTTTGCTCATCTGTACAGTGGGCATTGTTAAGGGCACCAGGACAAAAGGAGATGGAGCAGGCAAAGCATTCACACGGGGTTGGCCACACAGGCCCTCGGACAATGCTAGCCATTACTGCCGCCTGGCATAAGAGACTCTCAGCCCCATCCCTGCGCCTCTCAAGTCCCACCATGACGATCTTCCTGCTCCCTCCTCCAGCTCCAGCCACACTGCCTTCCCCCCACCCCAGCCCCTGGAACTTCCTCGTCACTCCCGTGTGGCTCCTACACGTCCCAAGCCCAGAAAAGGCTTGTTCAGATGTATTCAGAGGCCAACCCAGGTGTCCCCTCCTTGGGCACGCCCCCCCTGATGCTCAGGGCTCAGCAGCCCTCTGCGCCTTCGCCTCTGCCTTCCTTCTACCCCTGCGGTGAATTTTTATATTTGTGGGTCTGTCTCCCACACAGCCGGGGAGCTCCTCAAGGTCAGGCTGGCACGCCCCCTGTGTCCCTGGCACTGTCACTGTGTCATCCCTAAGCACCACATGGCCCTTGGGACAGATTTGTTACATGAATGACGTGAGTGAGTGACATGAAATGACCTCCCCCATCTGCATACGTCTGGAGAAGGTGACAAGCTTGTCATCTTGAGGGTGACCCTCCAGGTGCCCTCCTGCTCAGTTCGGGGAGCGGGTGATGATCACTTCCTGCCCATCCCAGTGGTTCAGCGTTGTTGGCATGTCAGTTTGCAGGTGGTAGTGCCTGGGTGCCCAGTAATGGCAGGCAGGCAGGGCAGGAAGGTGGTCTGACTTGGAGGTAGGGACCCCTTGGATCACAGAGCCCCAAACATCAGGGCTTCAGTCATTCNTCCAACTCCACAGGGATCCCTCTTTGCCCCCTTCCTAACCACACCCACATCCCTCCTACAGAGAAAGGATTTTACCTAAGTCACATTGGAAAAACTGTTTGACTTTCTAAAAAAACCATATCTGTGTATTATTAGTTTTAGATTTAATAGGTTAGCTGGATGGAGGGAATACAGACCTTGTTTTTCTTCCCTACACTGGTCTACGAGTATGCTTTAGAATTCTAAACAATAGTAAGCAACTGCTAGAAATGGTTCGTGAGCTCTTACCTGATTCTTTTAATTTTTTTAAAAAAAGTTCTGAACACCTCCTGTAGGGTGGGCACATGAGTTTCCAGGCAGGAGAGGAAGTGCTGTCCGGCCTACCTTGCCCGTCAGCTGGTGCTGGAGGCAGAGGGCCTCATCTCGAGCCGCCTGTAGCTGCCGGTATGCGGACCCCTGGTCCCTGAGCTGGCATTGCAGGGTCAACACCTGGTGACCGAGCTGCCTGACACGCAGCCTGAGATCCTCCTCCGAAGTCTCGGCCTCTGGGTCCCGGAGCTGTGGGAATGACAGATGAGGATGTAATTCTTAGGCTATCTCCCAAGTAATTTGCCTTAGCTAATGAACAGTACCTGTTTCCCTTCTTAATAGTTTTCCTGCTTACATTTTCACCATAGTTGAAAAATTGGAGAAAATAAAGGAACAGAAATTACTCCAAATCCTATTAGCCAGTATAATCATCATTGTTATCCACATATTTTCTTCTGCTTTCTCCACTAAGCTCTTACCCACGTGCTCACATGAGTGTGTGGCCCGTGATGGGTTTCTTGAGGGAGGATGGTGGGGCAGGGAATCGCAGAATGACATTCTAACGTTATTTTAAAAAACAATCTTTTCATTTTTTTTCATAAATATGCACAATAGCATGGTGTTTCAGAGTGCTTTAATAGATAGATATCGGTCACCATTATACTGAAACACAGTAGGATGAATGGTATTTCATGTTCAAATCCAATTATGAGATGTTTATTACATTAAAGCTTCGTATATTTCCATAAAGCAGAAGATACTGCATATCCCCAAAACAGCTTTCTTAAATCAGCGCAAACTAGCCTCTCACACTTAATGGCCTGAACACAAGTGAGCGGCTTTCATTTAGACGTCAGGAGTGAGTTTCAGGGAGGGCGGAAGGTGAGAAGGAAAAGGTGACTTAGCATTGTGGGAGTGTGAGTAAATGGCCGTGACNCAGCTGACGGGTTAAAAGCTGAGTAGAGCCTTTGGCAGCCTCATGGGGCTGACAAGGGACAAGGGGGAAGGATGTGATAAACACTGCAGCCTTTTGATCAAGACCCCAAACGGCCATGCTGTAGGAGTCAGAGTGAACAAGAAAGAAAGCAGACCCCACACATGCTGAAACAGATCTGAGGTGAGGAAGGGTCTGCACCTGGCCTGGCTGCCTGTCAGAAGCTATGGGAAGTCCTCTCAGGCTGAAGACACTGTCAGGCTGAACCTCAGATCATACCTTCAAGTTTCTGCACACCATGTCCAGCACGCGCTGAGAAATAACCAGACACAGAACACATGATTTGACCCAAACCACAAATTATAAAGTAGATAATAGAAACAGACTAGGAAAAGAAACCAGACGGGCTTTGTGGGGTTGGTCATTTTCGAGTTCTTGACCTGGAGATGGCTTCCTGGGTATGTAGCAACCTGTGATAGTTCCCTGAGCTGTACACTTACGAGTTGTACTCTTTTCTACATGTGTGTTATACCTTCAATTAAAAAGTTTATACAGGAAATTAGGCAACTGATGTCCTCTCACCTCCAGAGACTCCAGTCGAGCTGTCTGTGCTGGCCACTCAGCCTCAGGAATGGGCCAGGACCCGGAAGGCAAAGGGCTTTGGAGGGCACTGTCCAAATCAGGGTGCAGGAGGTGTTTCTGAGCTAGAAGAGAATATTCTCAGTCAAGCCTCAACCCAGAAATTTACCCTAAAAATCAAGACGTCTCTGAGTCTTGCAGCAACCTATTTCATTCTCTTTCATTCCCAGATCCCCAAACTCCACCTAAATTTTTTTAAAAATTACCCATGTTACCATCTTTCTAAGTAACCACTGCTACTATTTTAGTTGCTCTCCTAGCCTAAGTTGTCAATCACACACAGGTGTGTATCTCTATCACTGGAGTCATCTGTTACATTCCATTTCCTACCTTTTTAAAATTCAGTAGAAAATCATAATTTCTTTGCTATCACATGGTGCGTGTCAGCATCATTTTAGCAACTAATATTTCATTGAGTATATGGGTTAATTAACAATTGTGGCATTTCTTTCTCCCCACCTTTTTTTGTTTTCTGTTGTAAATGTCCTAGCATGGATGCCTGTCCACTGAACTTTTCCACATATAGAATTGTTGACTTAGGATGAGTTTCCAGGCATGTGTCTAAATAAATAAATAAACGGAGCCACTTTCAAATGGAGCCCCGGCTGCCGTCCCAGAGGAGCTGCCTTGCACGTCTTATGCCTCAAATCTTTGGAATGTTGAAACAGGACAAAATAACCATTGGATAAGGGCCTAGGGCAATCTTGTGCCCCAAAGACTGTTTGCAAAGATCACAAGAAAGCAGATACTGTGACCACTGGGCTGAAAATTAAAAACACTGTTTAGAATGAGCGTGACTATGTTAGCTTATCTGCACCAATAGAAA